CTGATTGCCAATAAATAAATTTAAACATAAAGCTTGGTTTTAATCTACAAACAGTATTTTCAAAAGACATGCTTATCACATCCTTTAATTCGAAAAGAAAATGATTTAAATGTCTTACAATGATTATACAAACCAAATCAGCTTGTACAGTGAGGCTCGAGATATTTCAGGTCACTTTTTGCTCTTATTCTAACGTTGACAAGCGATACTCAAAGAATTCGGAACCTTGGTGGAAACTTAGATGAAAACCCAGAAAAAAAATATTGAAAAGAATTTGTGTAAATTGTAAAATGTAAAAAGAGCAAGATGTACATCTGAACAAATTTATTTGTTAACTTACTTCTGAGTCCAATCTGTGAAATAAATGTTATTGTCATGGTAGGCTATACCAAAGTAATGTGCTTTGGAGGAAAACATTAGAGTTCTTCTTCTTGAGCCTTCTATTGTAGCTGTTTCTATTTTCTTCGTGCTGGCATCCGTCCAAAACATTCTGTTTTCTGTTGATAAAAAGGGAGGTTATTATTATTACAGATTACATTTTAGTTTTGAAGACAGGTACAAATGTTGCAACCGATAAGCCAATTCTATATAACAGGTAAGCCAATGCTATATAACAGATAAACCAATGCTATATAACAGATAAACCAATGCTATATAACAGATAAACCAATGCCTTATAACAGATAAACCAATGCTATATAACAAATAAACCAATGCTATATAACAGATAAACCAATGCTATATAACATATAAAACAATGCTATATAACAAATAAACCAATGCTATATAACAGATAAACCAATGCCTTATAACAGATAAACCAATGTTATATAAAAGATGAACCAATGCTATATAATAGATAAACCAATGCTATATAACATATAAACCAATGCTATATAACAAATAAACCAATGCTATATAACAGATAAACCAATGCCTAATAACAGTTAAACCAATGTTATATAAAAGATGAACCAATGCTATATAACAGATAAACCAATGCTATATAATAGGTAAACGAATGCTATATAATAGACAGGCCAATTCTATACAACAGATAAACCAATGCTATAGTTTATTCCATTCATGAGGGGAAGCGAAACAGAAAGCTCTTTCTCCAAATCTCGTATTGGGTTGTTAGTTGTAGTAGGTTTGATGATCTGAGTGAGCGTTTAGGAATGTATAGCTGTATAAATATGTAAGTTAGGGTTGAGAATTAGGGTCGTTGAGGCAGTTGTAGGTGACGGTGTTGATTTTAAAACATATTCGATAGTTGATAGGTAGCCAGTGAAGATCTGCAACGATAGGGGTCATATGTTCTCTGATATTAGTTCTTGTGACGATTCGGGCTGCTTTATTTTAGATTGAAGTTGGTGTATAAGGTATGATGGTAAGCCGTATAACAGTGAATTTGAATAGTCTAGTGCAAATGTGACGAAAGCATTAATTAACATTATGGTAGTGTTGGTGTCTAAAAAGTTTCTGATTCTACCAATTCGGTACAGGTGGAAGTTGGCAGTCAACAGATGACATGAAATCGTTGTACACACGAACTAAGGCTGACTGGGTGCTATGACATTTTCGGTAGGCTGATTGGAATTTTGCACTCAAACCATTTACTGCAGGTTGATGGCATACAGCAACAACCTTTTCAATAAGTTTTGAG